GAATTCCATTCAGTCGTTATACTGTATATCCAAATCTCATCTAGAAAACTCAAGTCCAGTTGGTAGCTTGCCTTATAGTGTAGCTGAACTGGCAAAAAAAAACTAGGTCAAGGTCTTGATGGCATCACTCTCTTTGTAGGCATCATGCAAGCGTTCACAAAGCATACAACGGCCACCAGCCTGAGCTGCGATTTCCTGCTACTGTTGTCTAATCATGTACCTTTTCTTCGCTCATTAATTGCATTTGTGTATATAGTGTGTACAAGTTTGGCTATCGTTGTCACTTGGAGTTTGAATGACAGTACAGTATGGTTGTTTTGAAGGACTTACTGTGCTTGAGATATGAGCAAACTGTGAGTGACAAGCACCTTGCTTGTGAAACGTTGACCCTCACATTCAGTTTGATTTCACTTCAACCCTGGAAAAAGGTGACACTGCAAATATGAAAACGCCCTTGGGTAGCAATATGATGCAAGTGAATGGGGTAACGAGTGGAGGAGCTTCTGCAAACCTGACGAGCTCTAACTCTGATGAAACCAAAGTGAGTATTTCTCAGCTTGATGGTTGGACAATGGTAAGAAGTGGCTCATTTTAGATCTGTGGCACTTAATTCAAATTCTGGTCCCTTTTAACCCTCCCACTGCATGAAGAGCTGCACGTCTCTGGAGCAGCAGTACGAGGAGAGGGTTCGTCCCTGCATCGACCTCATCGACTCTCTGCGCTCACTGGGCGTGGAAGAGGACTTGGCTCTGCCAGCCATCGCCGTGATCGGAGACCAGAGCTCCGGCAAGAGCTCCATACTGGAGGCCCTGTCTGGAGTGGCCCTGCCCAGAGGAAGCGGTGAGATATGTGCAAAAATACCGTACTCGCACGCCCCGGTGGCTCATCGGTCTAAGCGCACGTACCATAAAGGCTGTGTCCTTCCCGCAGGGACCTGGGTTCGATTCCAGCTCAGGTCATTTGCTGCATGTCTTCCCCCATTCTTCTCCCCAACTTTCCTGTCTCTCTACGCTGTATAACTGTCAAATAAAGGAAAAATTCCCAAAAAAAAAATCTTTGAAAAAAAAATAAAAAATACTGGACTCGTACACACACTCACACCTACGTGCACACACATTCTCTCTCTCACACACGCACACACACATATATATACACACTAACACACATTCTCTCTCTCTCATTCACACACACACACACACACACACACACACACACACACACACACACTGATATCTAGCCTCGGGAATGGAACCAAGCACAGATAACCAAAAATGAAAAATGAGGAGAGGAAGCGAGGAGCGCACACATGATGGAAAGAACAAGACAATAGAATTACGAAGGCATTTAACTCTTTCAACCCCAGATATTCTAGCATCACTATACCCTTCAACCCCACAGCCCTCTGTAGAGGGCTGGTCATTATCTGGACATTGTATCTTACTGTTATCTCTGGAATCCCATTAAATGTAACCTGATATGTTCCAATCAATTAGTAAGATTGTTTGAATTTTCCCTACAGGAATTTGGGGTTGAAGGGAATATGTTGGTCAGCCCTCTGTAGAGGGCTGTGGGGTTGAAGGAGTTAAGTTAGGTAGAGAAGTAAAACACATGGCAAACCGATAAATAAGGGGCGACATGGGAACACAAAGAAGACCCAGAACATGGGGAAAAAGGGAAACCGAAATTAAAGAAGAAAAACAGTGAATGTAATTAAGTACTCAAATAAATACATAACGCTGAGTAAACCAGTCAGAGAAATGCGGGGCAGGTGAATAGGCAGGCAGCGGAGCAGGAAAAGGGCGTGGTGACAAGGAAATGAGAAACAATCAAATGCAGAGCGGCGAAAGTGAAAGAGAGAGAGACTATAGAAACACTGGGGAAAGGGAAAAGGAAACCTAAATGAAACAGAACTGTGAAATAAATAAACCTATAAAAGCTGTACAATAATAACTGAAATGAGCAAGAAACACCAAGCAGAAATCACAAGTCTTTCACACAAAAACACACTCACACGCCAGCTTGCACACATACCCTCTGACACACAGTATGCACATACACGTACTCTCTCTCTCACACACACACACATTCTCGTATGCAGTACACACTCATACACTCATACTATATCGATGGTCACTGTTTCTTTCTTTGTAGTTGTATCTTGCAGCTATCTTGTAGTTGTAAGATTGTATCTTACAATCCATACGATTTTGAAGGATTTTTAGAATGATATTTATGTAGTCTTAGTGGTAGACATTGCTCCTGATGTGAATGGGCCTTTTAAGAGATGTATAATGTGTCACATGACCTACAGGTATTGTGACCCGATGCCCCCTGATTCTAAAACTGAAGAGGGTAAAGAAAGGGCAGCCTTGGGCTGGACGGCTGGCCTACAAATTTAATAACAAGATACACAAAGATATCCTCAAGAGTCCAGAAGAAGTTGGAAAGGCAGTTTTGGCTGGTGAGTGCCGTGATCACGTGCCTGGTTTGTAGGGGGGGGGCGAGATCGATGATCACACTAATGCTCAATGTGCTTGGGACTGTTTGGAGCAGTACAGGAGGTCATCGCCGGGAAGGGAGAGGGGATCAGTCACGAAATGATCACGCTGGAGATCAAGTCCTCAGGGGTCCCAGATCTGACTCTCATCGATCTTCCTGGGATTGCCAGGGTTGCTGTCGGTAACCAGTCGCAAGATATTGGGGATCAGGTGAGAGCGGGATCAAAAAAAATACATATGGGTGACCGTTATTTGCAAAATTATGGTGAAAAAATGTTAAGAACCAGTAGGGGTATGGTGACAGTGACAGTAATTTCAATCACCCGTCGCTCTCATGCCATTCTCTTTGTTTCCTATGTTCTGTAATGCCTTGTAGATTAAAAGGATGATCCGCAGTTACATCAGCAAGCAGGAGACCATCAGTTTGGTGGTTGTGCCGGCGAACATTGACATCGCAACGACCGAAGCCCTGAAAATGGCACAGGAGGTTGATCCAAGTGGACACAGAACTCTGGGTAATGAAGTCGAGTTTTCCACTACACTGTGTGGAGGATGCAACAAATATGTTTTCAGACTTGTCAAATAAAGATCTGTTATTCCTCTCACATCAGCGTACATTAATGAGAACAGTTTAAAAAATCCAAACCTCCTTCTGCCTTACCGAGAGACGTATCATTTTTGCATTGTTGCTGTATAACTAATAGGCATTGTAATGACCCGTGTGGTAATCTGATGGAGTTCACTTTAGTTCCATTATCTGGCTCTTGAAACGTTACTTCCCTCTTGGGTTTACTGCTCGCATGTATTTGCTGGTGCATTTGGTGTTGTACGTCAATCTGGGTACGTTTCCCGAAGGCTTAGTTGCAAACAACTTACATACTTCTCTCTACATGGCTCTGGTTCAAACTATGTAAATTCCTTACATTGTTAGCGAATAAGCATTTGGGAAACGTACCCCTGGATAAGAGGGTCCGCTAAATTCCGATAACAAGGATGGAGCTGCTTACAACCAGGATGGCTGCAGTGTCTGGATACTTCTGTGGTCTTACTTTAGTCAGCAGGTTTTACTGCCTAGAAAATAAGGTGTGTGGACTCATTAGCCAATCAGAGACTTAAATAAATCACTCCCACGGAAACATAACAAGACATTGTCGCCCTCCAGGTTTGAAGTTGCCCATCTCTGGCCAATAATGCGATGTAATATTTATGTATGCCAGTGACTGTTTACATTACAGTTTAACAGTTAAGATGCTCAGCCATCTTGGTCCAACTGCAGGTGTCCTGACCAAACCGGACCTCGTGGACAAAGGGGCTGAGAAGAATGTGGTGAATACAGTCAATAATCTAACCGTCCCCCTGAAGAAGGGCTACATGATAGTGAAATGCAGAGGACAGCAGGACCTCAACGATAACCTGACCCTGGAGAAGGCCATCTTGAATGAGAGGATATTCTTCCAGGATCACCCTTACTTCAAGTGAGTAACAGAAAACTGGGGGCTAAAGACCCTCTGTAGCCATAATAAGATCAGTGCAACTGGCCCCTGAGCAAGGCCCCTAATCTAACATTGCACTTGGTGACTTGGATCATGGTCCTTGAGGTCGGAGAACTGGTGGTTTTCCATCAGGTGTAAAGACCGATCAGTGGCAATAATTGTTCGCTTAATTCCTTGGAAGAAAAGAAATTCATGACTGGATTTGGTTTTGAGGGGCAGATTTTAGAATCCCTGGTTTATGCATTTTTACGACTCTATCTTTCATGTTTCTGTCAAGCAATGCTGCTGCCTTCTCTTCAGATAATTGTGGTTCCAAATGTGTTTAAGTCAAGAGACAGATCTCACCTCAGTGAGGCATAGTTTTGAATCAGTTGAAAATCGAAGTCATTGTGGCATGCAATCAGTAAGCCGAATGTTAGCAAGCTATGTTCGTTAACCTTCGGCACAGTTTGCTGACATATTCAGTGATTTTTCTGTTTGCTATGATATATGTAGTGTGTGGAAGGCAAAAAATCCTTCTGAAGACCGTGAGAGATGTCAGAATTAAGGGGAAAATTTATTTCTGAATCTAATCATTTCATCTGTCAGTGCCCTTGTTCAGTGGTCCGGATGTGGAACAATATTATGGTCCGGTTGTGGAACAGTATTGTGATTCTCTTTGCTGAACTCATTTGTTGATAATGTATGTGGAAAGGTTTGCTCTGAAAAGTGATGGCGCAAACTCCGTCTCATAGTGGTCTCATTATGTAGCTTCTCAAATTACATGTTTGTGCGGCAATTATGTCCTGTAGTAAAATGGAAGGATGAATTACTAGCTGCAGATGCGTAGTCAGTTATGAATATTTGGATAGATCCTAGATGAATGGATATTTTATGCCTGCACATTCTTAATTCAAAATGATTTACCTGCTGTCCAAAAAGATGCTGAGAGAATAATGTTTTCAAGGATATTTAGTTGATATTAGTAATTCTAATTACATTACGCATTTGAACGATTGGCTATGCGGATGGCACTGTGGCACAGAGGATACCTCTGCCTCTCCTCAGCAGGAGGTTTGTGGGTTCGAATCCCGCCTGGGCCCTTTCTGTGTGGAGTTTGCATGTTCTCCCCGTGTTTGGGCGGTTTTTTCCAGGTACTTTAGTTTCCTCCCACAGTCCAAAGACATGCATGTCAGGATAATTGGAGACTCTAAAATTGCCTGTGTGTGTGAGTGGCGCGTTTGTCCTGCAATCGATTGGTAAGCTTTCTCCCATCGTCAGTTGGGATAGGCTCCAGCTCCTCCCGGACCCTAGTAAGGACAAAGCAGTTTAGATAACTGACAGACAGATGATTGTTTATCTGCTTGGATAGTTAAAAAACAAATCATTTGGTTATCCATGATGATTTGTCATTATGCCATTGTAAAAAGATGAAATCTCATTCACAGAATACAAATATTGCCAAATTTTTCCAGTTATGCATGAGCGTATTTAAGGATTTATAACTCAGTATTTGTGTCACAGAGACTTTGGGAAATTATTCCAGTGAAGCAAGACATTTAGAAATTCAATTTCAAAATTGTTTAGGAATTAAATTTTGGAATTTACGGACGCCGGCGTCTATATCTGCACAAAGGGGTTTTAACTCTTTCAACCCCAGATATTCTAGCATCACTATACCCTTCAACCCCACAGCCCTCTGTAGAGGGCTGGTCATTATCTGGACATTGTATCTTACTGTTATCTCTGGAATCCCATTAAATGTAACCTGATATGTTCCAATCAATTAGTCAGATTGTTTGAATTTTCCCTACAGGAATTTGGGGTTGAAGGGAATATGTTGGTCAGCCCTCTGTAGAGGGCTGTGGGGTTGAAGGAGTTAAACAAAACAAGGAATAACTTTGACTTTAACTTTTTTTTTTTAAGTAGCAAAACACATATCCATTACTAAGTTACTTGGTTTGAATACAAAGTTTTTTGCATGGAACACACATTTTTAACCTCTACCGTAATCCGCCGCCAGTTGTGTGTTTTCAAGTCTTTCACCCAGAGTCTGGTGGTCTGACCTAAGTCCAGGCAAGAATGTTGCTAAATCGAACTCCACAAATCATTTCGATAAGTGTGTTTTTATGACTATCTCTAAGAAACAACCCACACTTTTTTGTCAATCCTTATTGTTTCAGTCTTGGTAGACATCCTGTGGACACAGAGGACTGCAGCAATGTCACTTGATATGGTAGTAGTAAGCAGTATGGTTTTAAAAGTGGCTTTTGGATTTCACGCACTTGCTCCTCTTGAATCTGTCATCGTACTGTGTCCAAGGGATCCTGGAAAATCTCCACAGAAAAAATCCGATTTTATTATGCGGTGGGAATACCATACCCTACCTGACCCGGTTAGAATGGCGCATGAAGGTGAAATTAACTCATAAAAAAGAATTGCCTCGAAAAAGTCATTGTGAAAAGGTATCAAAAACGCCATTTTTAATATGAAACATTGACTCTTGAGGTTTGTTTTTTTTTTTTCCTCTAAATCAACCTTACCTTAACGCCTCAGTATCCCATTACCCAGGTCGTTGATGGATAAGCAGAAAGCCACCATCCCCTTTCTGGCAGAGAGGCTGACCAAGGAGCTGGTGGAGCATATAGGCGTAAGTTCTGGTGTACTCTGATTCCCTGATCAGTGCACAGGGTTCATTCCAATCAGTTATATGATACAGCGTTGTCCAGAATTTCTGGCACCTTTTAAAAGCAAAAACAAAAAACAAAAAAAATGTCTTCATTGTTTATCCTCATGATTTTTCATTCAAGGTATTCACAACAATGTAACCTTTAAGTAACCTTGAAGTAACACAGTTGAAAGAAACATCACATTCTTATTGTGGAACAAGTCCTTTTCTCAAAAATGTGTGTGCCACAATTATTGGCACCCATTCATTTAATATTTTGCGCAGCCTCCTTTTGCCAAAATAACAGCTATGATTTTTCTTCTACAATGCATGATGAGGTTGGTCAACACTTAACGCAGGATCCGAGACCATTTCTCCACATTGAATCTCTCTGAATCCTTCGGATTTCGAGGTCGAGGCTTGTGGGCTCTCCGCTTTAGTTCATCCCACACATTCTCTGCAGGGTTTAGGTCAAGGGACTGTGATGACCGGAGCCAAACCTGCATTCTGCGGTCATCAAACCACTTTCTTGCAAATTTTGAGATGTGGTTTGGAGACATTGTCCCGCTGGAAAGTCCAACCACAGCGCAGCCCTCTGACTGAGGTTGTTCAGTTTTCAATGAATATCTGCTAGAATTTGATGGAGTCCATGATGCCATGTGTCTTAACAAGATGTTCAGGGCCTATAGAAGAAAAACATCCCTACAAAATCAAAGATCCACTACCTTAGTTCAGAGTAGATATGAGGTGTTTTTGTGGATGGCTGTCTTTCTGTTTACACCAAACCCATGTTTGATGTTTTTTGCCAAAAAAAAAACCTCTCTATTTTGGTCTCATCTGACCATATAACTGAAATTGACCATTGAAAGTCCCAGAAACATTTGGCAAACTGTAGACACTTCGTTTTTGTAGATTGACTGGGGTGGCTTTTTTCTGGCAACCCTCCCAAACAATTTATGGTGATGTAGGTGGTGTCTGATGGTGGTTTTGGAGACTTTCTTACTCCAAGACTCAATTACCCTCTGCAGTTCTCCAGCTGTGATCCTTTTAGATTATTTTGCCAGTCTAACCATCCTCTTTGTAGTGGGTAGGGTCAGTCTCCTCTTCCATGCTGATTCTGAACATCCCTTGTCACTATAAACCTCTTAATTATTGCCGACTGTGAAAGTGGAAATGGATATTTTTAACGAGTTAGAGATTTTCTTAAAGCCTATTCCTGATTTGCGCAGCTCAGCAACTTTTCGTCATGCATCGTCACTTCATTCTCAGGTTTTTCCCATAGTGTTGAATAACTAAGGGAATTTGGATTGTGTCTCCTCATATTTATACTCCAGTGGAACAGGAAGTCATGGTTCACCACTGAAACAGCTCATAATCAAACTTGTGAACTTAAAAATGTGAAGTATGACCAGAAATATACAGTACTTTAGTTACATTTTGATCATAGGATTTTCTTGGGCCACCAATATAATTGTGGCACATATGTTTGGAAGAAAAATGTATTTAATGTCAACATCTCTCCTTCTTTCAGTAGTTTTACTTCATTGATTTGAATGTAAGATTTTTGTTACTATTTTGGGTGAAAGACTTGGTGGATGAAAAGCAAAAACATTTTTCATTCACATCTTGTTTGCTCATATTTGCTAAGGGTGGCAGTAATTAAGGACAGAACTGTACCTCCTTTCTTCCTTGCACCTTACCTGGGAATAAAGTGGTTCACCACCTTTAAAGAGACTGCAGTCCATCAAATGAGTTATGAAATAAGAACAAGAAGTTTACAGTTTATAGTTTTTGAGACCAGGCATACAGTGAAAGATTCTACCTTATCTAACTAGACATCAGCTATTCTTGTCACTTTGTTAAATATTTTAATGTTTGTTTTTCCTGGACATTTAATGGGATTTCCAGAAGTCCCTCCCGAAGCTGGTGGACCAGATTGATAAGAAGCTAGAGCAGACAAAACAGAACCTAAGGACCCTGGGAGATGGAGTTCCTAAGGATCAGGGACAGATGACTCAGTTCCTGATTGCAGTGAGTGACAGTACTGAGAAAGATGGGTACCTGAGAAGATACTTTACAACATTACCAGAAATACTGTTTTCTCCAGATGTACACTGCATTGCCTCCCTAAGGAACTTTGTGTTTCCTAATCTTGCAGAAAATTAACAAGTTCAACAATGTTCTCACGGAAGTTGTTCGGGCAGAAGAAGTGGTCGAGGAAGGCAACACCAAGCTGTTTACCAAAATCCGATGCCAGTTCACCAAGTGGAAGGCACTGCTTGACAAGAAAGCCACGAAACGTTAGCATCTTCCATATCTGTTGAGTTTTTTCTTTTGCCAGGTTTGAATTCATAATTTTGAAAATGTGAACCCCAGCAAATTTAACATTATAATTGCTCGCCTTCTCAGCTTTAGCACTTAGGTTGCCTCACTTGTATCCAGATCTATTACTGGCAGTGGCAGTGACTGAGCTGAAAATTGAGGTGTAGGTTATGTCCTTATTGCATATAATTTGATTCCCAATTTTTGCTCCCTTTTTGAAATCAAATAGCTATAGTCAGCTTTTGTCATATTTACAACCATATTTTTAGAAATTAAATATTAGATCATGGTATTTAGCATGGAGTTTGGCTTGGTTAGTAGCACACTCTAAAGTCTTTTAAATAGTATTTGTCATAAAATGTTCTGTTCACTCCAGTGGTCAGATGTCTGGTTTGGGGGTACCGACCCAGGCACGGATGCTGGCAGATGGTAAATAACCAAAGTTCAGTGGTCAGGTGGGGAGAGGTTGAATTCGGCCAGGCAGAAATGTAGTCCAGAATCACAATCAAAAAGTTGCGGTCAAAATATCGATCGACGTCAAAAAACCAGAGAAAGCAGACTCAGAGATCACAGAGTGGAATCCGAAGTCGAGATAACAGGCAAAGGATCAGTAACCAGGTAGATCAGGGAAACAAAACAGAGAAAAAAACTGAAACTATAAACTGGAAAAACTTGGTCAGAACAGGCAGGCAGATTAGACCAGCTTGACCACCACAGGTTGTCAAATCATATGTGACAAACTCTCGAACAAAGAGGGAAAGACGAGGATTTAAATGCCCAAGACTGAAATGAGCAAATGAGATGCAGGTAAGTAATGGGGCGAGAGGAGTATAGGGAGGGAGGGGTGAGATAACGAGGCAAACAAACGATTAATCGAGATGGGAGACAAGAAACACGGAAGAGAGAGAAAAACAAAGACACATGGACATGGAGAACAAAGATGAACATGGGAACAAAGATAAATTAAAAGAGCCAAAACTTTTAAAAAGATGACAGAAGTTCAAACATTTATTGCAAGAACTAAGAGGAAGTAAAACTCCTGCCATGTTTTACTTCGGCTGAGCACGTGCAACAACGGATTACACTAATTTGTCATGGTTTTTACCTGCTCAA